AGAATACAAAGATTAGAATTATTCAAATTCTCACTGAACCATTATTTATGTATTTTCTTCTCCAGTTGTCTGATGAATCTGTGACCCAAAGAATTTTTCATGATTATTCAAATTGGTCTGAGACCATTTTCATTCCTGTTCAAACTTCATGGTGAATTTGCAAATTTGATCTTCAAATTCCATCTACTTGCTTTATTATTATCATTATTATTGGTATATTGCTTCACAAATCTTGTTACTATCATTTTGTAAATCTTCCAGTTTTCTATGTTGCAACTTATCTTCTTAGAAAAACTGTCAGTGCATATTTTTCTTTAATAAATTACATCAAAAATGGGCTAAATTAAGTCCTTTGATGATTTAAATTTTTTAGTTGTTAGAATTAATTAAAAATTATGACCAATTAAGAAACTTTTAATTTAATTATACAAAAATATTCTACTATAATTAAATCTCTTGATTAATTTATGATAATTGTCAACATTAGTATCAAGCCGGCTAAGGTTCAATATAGTTAAATAAAAATTTTAAGTAATTAATTATATTGAATAAAAAAAACCCTTCATCAGACTCTTTGTAGGACATATTTTCATGAAATAAAATATATATTTTTTTAAATAACTCTAAGGTAAAATATTTAATCTTCATTTTAATCAATATAAATAATTCTTAAAAATTTTCTTCAACACAATTATTATATTAATTTTGATTACTATTATCTTCAATATTAAATTAGTTATATAATTTAGATTTATATGATGATTATAAAATTTCTCGAGAGATTGAGATGATAATTTTTTATTTATCCATCCTAATGTATAAATAAACGATCAAATAGTGAAACTCGAAGTTTTTTGAGAGACACTCTTGTAAGAGTATAAAACGTTTAATTCTAATGTAAACTTTGCATATCTTTATATGGTTACTAAGATGGTTATAGGAGTAAAGGTGATCAAATTTTTGTTTAGACGAAAAAATCAGACTTTATTAAACTAGATCAAACACTCGGTCTATACAACAAGTTTTATTTTTTTAAAAAAAATAGTATATTTTAATTTACTATTAGTCGAAATTAAAATAAAATAATAATTTAATTTAATTCAATCTAGTTCTAAACCGATAACGACCCTATATTATAGGGTCAACTATAATAGGGAAATATGGTAATAATATTGTAGTAAATTATTTTGTCTTTAGTGACCAAAAGTTAGTTATTTTTCAAGATGTCTCTTGGGGGAGAGTGAAGTTGTGTAATAGCATTTTAAGTCTTTTATCCCAAAACTGTCTAAAAAGTTTTAGGGCATGATTAAACAGATCCAAGGCTCTTCCTTTACTGCAAGAAGAAGCCCAACAAACGCACTGAAAACCTAATACGACTGTAATCTCTTTTAGATTTTCCGGATAGACATAGAATTTTGGATGTTTTGAAGATTTATTGAGCGAGACGGAGAAAGATAGCAATGTCTCTAACGTGCGTGAAGATGTCTGAGGATGTGTGGTTAACGTGTCTCACTCATGCATTGTCAACTGAGACCGAAGAGATCATGGGGCTTCTTCTCGGTGATATTGAGGTCTGATTTCAATTACCTATCCAATTTTTGTTTTCTTAAGCTCGTCGATCATGTATCGGTGTATGTGTTTGTGAATATATGCAGCGGTGATGCTGAAACTGGAACTGTTTGGGTTTTGGAAATGTTAGACAAAGTTTGATTTGATTCACGTCGCCCTGAAAATTAGATTTCCTGCGAAAACCCAAGTTATCCGTCGCCCAAAGATTTTATTGATTTGTCTCTTGAAAATATTGTTTAGTTTTGAAGTTGTATTTTCTCCTGGAAATGTTGCTCTTGCAGCGAAAATAGGATGAAATTCAGTTGGCTTTGGGATTTTGATTTTGTTTTGATACACTTGTGAACTTATTTTCAGTTGAAGTCAGCGGCATTTTGCTATTGTCGTCGTCATTTTTTAAGTTTCTTTTCTTGGGGCTATTGAGGTTTTGCTTTTGGCGCAGAATCTTATTGAATTGGACTATTGTTACTGTTGGAAAATAAGAAATCGAGCTGTTTGTTTTCTCTGTGGTCAACCTCTTCTCTAAGTACTTTCCACCACGGATGAAATGGGCATAATGGTTTTCTTTCCTATTGTGTATTTATAATTGTTTTATGTTAGAAGATTTTACATGGCCGATTCTATCTCTGTCTTTAGTTTCTTGACATGGTTCGATCAAATCCAAATTCTTTTCTCTTTTCTAGTTTGAATTTAACTTGCATTACATCCGATCTTCGGGAACTCGCTGTTGGAGGAAAACTGTACAAGTACTTCCTCAGCTTTTAGTCCTTTGAAATTACTATCTTTTAGCTGACAGTGGTTATGGCTATGTGAATTTTGGCAGCTCATAGGAACTAGGATGCTATTTTCATGTAATCTTTTGTTTTTTATGATAATTATTTTTCTTGTATGCTGTGTTTGTCTCTTTATCTTTTCATCAGCTGGATAACTTATCCAATGTACTTTTTGTAATGTTCTCTCCTTTCTCTTAATAGTAATTCTTTTTTCCATTAAAAAAGGAACTTTAGCAACTTATGAAATCAGAAGTATCTCGAGATTTTGTTGGTGCTTCTGCCACCTATCTTGTGTTTGTGATGAAAATATGACATTGATTTCTTTGTTGATATGCTAGAACTTGTTATATATCTGGTTATTAAAATTGTTGCTTTGACAGGACATGATTGGGAGGTCGGGATTGTCTTTTGAACATGTCTTTCTTGGTTTTTTGTATATATGTGTATATATATATATATATAAATTATTCACCTTTTTTCTTTCACTTCCAATGGTTACTTGTTTCGAACATCTCAGTACTCAAAAAATGGAAGTGTAACTGCCTTGATCTGGGGAGCATCACCACAGTCACGATCTGATCGGCGAAAAGACAGAGTGGAGACAACTCCTGAACAATTAGCTGCTGCATCAGCACAAGCTGATATATCCTTGTTTCTTGTCTTCTCTGAAAATTCATCTTTTGGCCCTTTATCTCCACCATGGGATACTACATTAATGTTCTTAGAGAAGTTTTTTTTTCTTTTTTTTAAATAAGTTCTTAGAGAAGTTTTACTTCTTTACTTTCAAATATTTCCTGATATGATGGGAAGACTTTCATATAGTATACATAGTACACTGAGTTTTCTTCTTAGATGGCTGCCTGTTTGTGAACTTCTGCTATATTCTTTTTAAATGTATTGCTAGGTGAATATGGTACATTTATCTGATTGTTGCATTTGCATTTCAAGATTGTTAGCTTTGTTGTGTAATTAACTTCACAGCACAGAATGACTGCATCAACTGGAAGAACAACAAGAGTGATTGGATGGTACCATTCACATCCTCATATTACAGTTCTTCCTTCCCATGTTGGTATGGATTGACTAACTATTATTTCTGTTGCATGTTCTTCCTCCTTTTTTGGTTTGATTATTGCAATTTCTGTTGATTGTTCGAATAAAAAATTACACCTACCTGTACTGCAGATGTGCGAACGCAAGGAATGTATCAGCTTCTAGATTCTGGATTTATTGGGCTGATATTTTCGTGTTTCAGTGAAGATATAAACAAGGTTCAGATCCAATGCATGATAAATGGAAAATAGAATCATTCAAATGTTTTTTTTAATATCATCAAATCATGCTTTGATTAATTTAGGTTGGAAGAATCCAAGTCATTGCTTTCCAGTCCTTGGATGGGAAGCAAAATCTTATGCCAAGACCTGTTTGTCCATCACCTGTAAATAACAGTTCAGTGATTGATATTGAATCCTCTTTGAGTTCCTCAGAGAATACATCTGTGAGATCTGCTCTTGCTAGAGCAGATAGTCCTGAAGAAGACACTGGTGATTCCAGAACAATTTCAGGATCTAAGGTACAACCAGCATATACTTTCGAAGAATTCTTTTAGATGATGTTAGTGGCTTATAAAATATGACTGGAATATGTTTTTCTACAACAGTTGGGATTTTATCTTTCAAAAAAAAAATTGAGGATTTGATGCTGGTGCTCTAGTCATGTTATATTCCTAGTCATTTTGCTGTGGTGGATGTGATTTCCAAATAAGTGAATTAGTTAGCAAGCATATGAATCCAGCTATTCAGCAGTTCCATTTCCTGAATATGGCAAGTTTCTGTTTATTGTTTTCTCACTCACAAGGTTTATGTCCGTAGGCAGACACATAATGACATATGAACCCAGTAATCCCCAATGCTTTCAGTCACAGCTTACATTTTGAGTTACTGTTCACTGCTAAAGTCTGAAAATGCTCTTTTTTGTGATGATAATTTTTTTCCACATAATAAATGAACTGATTGGTTATCAGACTTTTAGGCATTTTCTGCTTTTTGACTGCTCAACCAAATTCCTGCTTGAATATCAAGCATGATTAACACATTTTTATTTTCATTAGAAATTCATCTTAGGGATAATGCATACTGTTTTGTGCACAGTGACTTTCCATTTCTATGTTATCACACATAAAAGAAAATATGACTAGGTTTGCTGTGAAATTTACGTGTACTGTGTTGATTGAGGGGTTGACCTAGTTTTGATAATTGACTTGTTGAATTTGTTTAATTTCCTCCACATGAGAGAAAGTTCGTGAAATATATGATCAATAAAAGGTTTTGTTTAAGTTTGTCAACAAATTCCTCAACTATTAGTCTCTTGTGTTCAAATTAAGAATCATTAAATATGTTGAAATTCTTTCAGGTGTTATGCTATCCCAGATTAAGTTGGGGATATGAAAAAATAGGAATGCCTTGTTTGTAAGACCTAGGATATAGAATTCTCATGCCTGCCTCCTATAGTCTTGGAAGGAAAATTTTAATCTTTGAATAAGCATCCCTAATAAATTCTCGAAGTAGCTAGTTAGAACGGAATAAATTGCAAAGAGGAGCATAAGGCTTTAACTCCTGTCCCCTTGGTAAAGAAAGCAGGTCAAACCATCCGGTCTAAAGGCAGCAGTATCTTACATATTCTACTTTTTGTGAATAACATATCGAAGCTGCTTTGCCAATTTAATCTGGATTATTAGTATATTTTGTTTGGCATAAAGATAGTCAACCTACTGGTTACCTGTAAAAATTACTACACCTGCCATCACGTTTCATTTCGCTCTCCTGCTCTAAAGAATAGCAATATTAGTATGAATTTTTAGGAACTATTTCTTTTATTCCATTTTCTTTTTCTTCTTTTTCTTCTTTTTCCAGTGGAGCCAACCAATGAGATTCGACTATCTTTGTTGATTAAAATTTCCATACTATATCTTTGAAATATTAGTTGATACTGTTACTAACATTTTGTGTATGTCTCTCAAAAAAAAATGTGTATATGATTGCATAGGGTGGGGGACGATCTTCAGACTTGGGGGTGTTCTTTGCTAATGCTGATGCTAACTCTCTTGGGAGAGAGAAAACTGGGGGAAATTATAATACTAATAACTTAAGCAATAACATTGATGAAATAGACCCAATGGATATGTCAGCAGGTATGCAAGAAGCAATGCACCGATCAAATTTGGACATGAGGTATACTTGAGTATGTTGTTGGTTACTTATTACGGTATTATTTTCTTCAAATTAATGTTAAATCTATTGTTTTCTTTTTCTGATGCTGTTGTATCCATGTTTCTTCAAGATGCTAGTGCGAAATGAAATTTATTTTAGTGGATTCTCTCTACCTAAAATGCATGAAGGGCTTCCTCAGAAAAAAAAAACATGAAGTGCACTTTGTAGGTGTTTCAGAAGTTCGACGAATGGAGGACCCAAAATTGAATCATGCTTGTGTTTGCGTTCTTCTTTATTGTTTGAAAGTTATTGTGATGTTGTTTACTTGGAAAATTGCTTCTTTGGTTCTTGTTTCTGTTCAGCAGGTGTTTCTTACTTTTGGCATGTAGGCAAGTTTTATGTGTGGAACATATTTTAGTGATTATCTCATGCACATGGCACCAGTGTTGGTATTTGTATGTAGCTATATTGTAATGTGTGATAGCATGTCTTGGTATGGTATTATGGGCCATGGAGTTAGTGGTTATGACAATGCCAGATAGTTGAATGTTTTTGCAGTTGTCTATTTCTGATGACATTTATTTTTCATTTTTTTTTTCTCATCCTACTTGGTTACCTCCCAAGTTAGCATATGTTATAGATTTATTTAATTTTTCTTTAATCAATTTATTGTTGGTTTCCCTTTTCACTTATATTCGAGTTCAAGTACTCATGATGTATGCGTGGTGCAGTGGTGCTGAGTATGTCCGAAAAGAAATTCCTCTTCATGTTTTGCCAACCGCATCTCTTCTTAAACTTGAGTCACCTTTAACATCATTTACGGATTTGCAACGTGTGTTATATGAGGAGGAGCGAGCAGCATATACCCAAGCTATTTTGCAACATATGAGGTACTTATTTGATGCTAAACTATTGGCATGCATTTTCTTGTTCTTTCTTTTGTGAATTTTCTCATCAGTTATTGTATTCTGATTTTCTGCAATTTCATTTTCTTTTCAGGGAAGGAAAAGTGCACCCTCTTATGTTCATTCATCATACATCAACATATCAGGCTTCCATGTGCAAATTAATTGAATATTGGTTAGGAACAGATGCCTACCTCTCACTTATGTATATGCTTATCCTATGTTGTCTACTTATGAACTTCATTGCAGTTTGAGTCCTGCCATAAATGCACTTCAAGATAGGTTGAGGGAAAATGAAATCCAGGTATGGAATTACTGAATTAGCTCTAAGGATTGCTTGTTAACCAAGTAGTAATCTTGAATAGGGTTGTGTTGGTTCAATGTTCCCGTAGCTGATTATGATTGCATCTAGTTTTTAGTGGTGTCCTATTTTGGTGGGCTAACAACTAATGGCACTCATACTTGTCCTTGAGGCATTAATGCTATGGATCATTCGCTTTTATTATTCATGGGATAAATCATAATTTTCCCAATTTAAACTATCTGGAAATAGCTGGCAAGGCTGATTGATGAAGCTAAGACTTTGGAGGTTGAGGTCTCCAGAGGGAGTGAATCAAGTATTGGATCTCCTCATGCTGGCCTATCTCATGGACTCCGAGGAAATGTTCTGAGTGGTCAGAGGGATTCAAGGAACGTAGCTGACACCAGCAGTTTGAGGACTGCCGTTGGATCTGGTAGCCGAAGCAGAAAAGGGTCTTAAAATTCTGACTTAAACCCCCTCTCTACATTCTGTAAGTCCTCACTGTCATCTTTGTTGTCACTGTTCCCTTCTCCATTTCTTTTCTGATCATATCTCATAAAGTATGGTGCTATTTTTTGAATTCTACAATATCAGAATCCTTTCCATTGTCTAGTGCCTGTAAATGATTATCAAAGTTTCCTTAGTTCACTACAAACTGTCAATTAAATTTAAGAATTAGATACTCACATTTTTGTTAGAAAATTAGTATTAATTTGAATGTGTCATCAAAATATAAAGTATTCCCCTAGTAAACAGAGTTGCTCTTGAATTCAATCCAATACTTTCCTAAATCCACTTGTATACTGTTCATATGATGCCCAGATGACACCAGGTGATGAATGCTTTTGAGTTTGCTGAATTTATCTGGGTTTGCAATAAGAACCAGAGATAACGGGAGTAGTGACATGTGGCGAGGGAGGAGAGTTCTCTTTTTGAGTCTGATCAACTTTGTTGAGTCCCAGAGAAGCATGCATCCAGAGGATGGGTGATGGGGGGAGAGTGGTTAAAGAAGAGAATGTTGGTGTATATAGGCTACCTGGTTTTATAATGTCAGGCTGGCATGTGTGGTGCAGTTTTATCTCTTTTTTTAAGTTTTATGGATAGTTCCCATGTCAGGGACGTAGGTGACAAACAATTCTGTACTCAAACTATGGTTTGTGTCCCAAATGGAAAATTGTGCATGATTATTAATCCAAAGGGAAAAGGAGCGAGCACCTGCATTTTTTCTTCTGTGGGAAAGTCTATGGTGCCTCCATTAATTCATAATACTCTACCATCATTCTATGGCATGATCAGTAATTTTACTTCAGAGAGCTGTTACTATGAATTTACAAATGAAGTCTATACAAATTTTGAATTGATTCTGAATATAGGCTAAGGTGTAATTTGCTCTTTAGGAAGAAAAGTTTTGTTGCGATATCGATGTAGGACATAATATAGCGTCATTATTCTCGAGGATGTTAATCAGTCAACGAAGGAACTCAGCTCCCCATATTGTGAAAGATGGGATGGCTCGGTGCTCCTCATACCCAGACTTTGGGCTGCTGCATGGTTCTTTATTCCTGACCCTTGTGGAAAATTTCATTTGTAGCAGCAACACAGGAATATTTTCTGAAACAATGGCGTCAAGAATGTTCTATCCAATGGGGGTACCAAATTGGTTTTAAAACTGCGAAAGAGCTCAAAGTACCTCCAATTGCACGCTAAGTACTCGAAATACTTTGAAGTACTTTCAAGTGTTTAAATCATTTGGAAACATCTTTTAAGTACCACGAAACATATAAATATCTTCAAATAATAAAATGTTGATGTAGTTCATATTATTCTGAATATCGAGAAACACTTTCGAGTGTTCAGAAGTACAAAAACAATTCTAAATCTTTGGAATATTTAGTAATTCATAGTCTCAAATATGTTTTTTAATTTCTAAAATATTTAAAAATAAAATTGATTATTTAGAATATGTAGAAGTGTTCTTGGATACTTAAAATATATATTTGAATAATTAGATATCATATAGGACATTATTTATAAAAAATATTTAAAATATTATTATTATTATCATTATTATTGTTATCGTTACCACTATCATTATTATTATAATTAATATTTATTTATATAAATTAAAATTTTATAGTTCCAAACATATGATAATCACTTCCTATACCTATATATATATATGCATATGCATATATATATATATATATGACTAATTCACTCTAAGATCTATTAAACTATCTTAATCTACTTTAACTCATTATTATGCACAGTTCCAAACGTAAGGTGACTCCGGGAGGGAGAACAAGTGACATTCAAAAGGGACCGAAGATAATTATCGATGGAAGTAATTAATTTAAATTCCTTTATGGAAGGGCATGCACGCAGGCAGAGACGACAAAGATATATATATATATATATATGTATGTACACATATACACACACACACGTACGTAAGTGGATGAGTGATTACAGTGATAGTAGGCAGAAATTTTAAGGAAAAAAAATTAAAAAAAAAAAAAGGAAAAGACAGGAAGTTGGTCGTGGTCATGCATGGGCGGGATTCCCTAGCAGAATCGAATCACTCCACTTCTCTTTACAGTTTGCTTCTTCTTCCTTTACCTCTCCCCAAGAGAATGGCCGCCACCCATATATCATATTACTAATTATACAACTCTTTCTTCCTAGATCTCTTCACTTCATGCATACATCTATGTCTGTCTATTTATCTATATATGTACTATATGTATCTGTATACATGCATATTGTACATATGTTGTTTTTCAAAAAGAAGAGAGAAAAAGAAATAGCAGGCGCAGAAAAAGAAAAAGAAAAAGATGGTCAAAACAAAAACCTCCGAGTCTTTGTTTTTCCCACCAAACCAAATCATCTTTTTTATGTCCAACCTCACCATTTGCCACCTTTTCTTTTTCTCTCTTTTTGTCTTGGGTTTTCTTTCACCAATATCTTCTTCTAATTTACTATATATTATTTATACCCATCCCATCATATACATACCTATATATATATATATATATATATATATATATCTTCTTCTAATTTACTATATATTAGTTCTTTAAGTCACAATATATCTCTTACACATAAAAAAAAGGAGTATAAATAAATAAGAGAAGCTTACTTTGCTTGATATAGTCATGTATCTACTAAATTATATTAATTCTCTCATGGTTAATTCAATCATACATTTGGTACTTAAACTTACATCTTCTTACCACCTTTAATAAGGAAATAACATATTGATTTCTTCACGAAGACAAATATAAATATGTATAATCCGACTTAAGCCCTCAATATTATTTAAAAAAAATTCAAGGACCGACCGTGGTAATTGAATTCAGGGTTTTGTGGGTAATTTTGCGATAATTAATTTAAGTCTACTAAATGAAAAGAATTTTCTTGCCAATATATAGAGATATATAAGAGAAGCTTGAGAGTAGTACAAGAAGAAAGTAGAATATTCAAAATTTTATAAAGCAACAAGAATTTTACCTGACACTTTGACTATCAATATCTTATTCTCAAAGTATAGTTGAAGGAGACATGAGCAAAATAATTGGAATATATGTGGCCCTCCCTAGGGTTTTTTATGTTCAGAATATTCATTACATGTAAAAACAAAAACAAATAGAAAATATTCCCAATTCGATTCTTCATCGTCCGTTACCGTTCGCCCACATGTCAATCTAAATAATATATATATATAGTGTAAATCTTTGCTTTAAAATTTAAATTAATTTTATTTAAAAAAACATGTACAGCTTTTCTCCTGTTATATATGTTTGGCCTTTGAAATAAATTATTACGAGTTTCAAATTTCATAAAAAATATAGAATTCATTATGTCGTAACTATATTGGTGGAATCTTTATTTATTAAAGTGATGTAAAAACAAAAACAAATAGAAAATATTCCCAATTTGATTCTTCATCGTCCATTACCGTTCACCCACATGTCAATCTAAATAATATATATATATATATATATATTGTAAATCTTCGTTCTAAAATTTAATTAAATTTATATAAAAATATGTATACAACTTTCTCATGTTATATATGTTTGGCTTTTAAAATAAATTGTCATAAGTTCGAATTTCATAAAAAAAACGTAGAATTCGTTATTTCATAACTATATTGGTGGAATCTTCATTTATTAAAGTAAACACAACATAAATATATGTAACATATATATATATATATAATATATGTATATTAAGCATTCAAGTTGAGCAAACAACATTTGGTGGTGGGGACATAAATGAAATTAGATTAACTTAAACAAATTAAAAAGAAGCAAACTAATATTATGAGTTTATTAATTAGTTTGAATGTCTTGTACTTTCCAAAATTTCCAGTCCTTGGAATCGCAGCAAATGGAATGAATTTTTTTTTTTTCTCTTTATCTCTTTTCTGTTTCCTTTAAATTTTAATTTTAATTTCAATTTTTCTTTTTTGGTGATTGCATTTATCAAAGTTTGCAAGGGTGAAGAACACGAAAAAGCAGATATTCACAGCTCGATCTCCATTAATATTCCTCTTTTTTTTTTTTTTGTTTTCCTTTTCCAATTCTCTAACCAGTATATAAACACTTTCTTCCTCATCCATTCTTCACCTCCATCTCTTTCATTTCTCCATCTCTTCACCAGGTTCGTACTATTCCTTTCAATCTCTCTGAAACATCATCTAATTGTTTGTTTGTTTGTTTTTTTTTTTTTTTTTTCTGAATTGTTACTAACATTGAAAGAATTAATTCATTAATAATGCAGCGTAGAGAAAATTTGAGGAAGATGAACAGTCGGCCAGGAGATTGGAATTGTCGGTCATGCCAGCATCTGAATTTTCAGAGGCGAGAATCGTGCCAGCGGTGCGGCGAGTCTCGCTCCGGTGAGTTTGGGGGATACGGTGGGAGGTCAGGTGGTTCATCATTCGGGTTCATAACCGGGTCGGATGTTCGACCCGGGGACTGGTACTGCTCCGCCATGAACTGCGGCGCTCATAACTTCGCCAGCCGATCCAGCTGCTTCAAATGCGGTGCGTTTAAGGAGGATTGCGGCGGAGGGTTTGATGGTGAGAGTATCCCGCGCGCCAGAGGGTCAGCTTTTGGTGGGTCTGTTAATCGCTCTGGATGGAAATATGGAGATTGGATCTGTACTAGGTCATTTTTCTCTTACCCTACATTTTTTAATATTTTATTTTATATGGTATAGTTTAGGTTTAGCCCCATCAGACTATATCGTATATTACATATACATATTATATGTATACACGTTCTTATTTGATGGGGAAGGTTAAATGATTTTGTGGGTCATTGGAATTAGATGGTGGGCACAGAGTTTGAAAAGGACTGAGTTGGGTTGTTGTTTGACTGCTTTGCTTTGGGAACAGTCAGATATATACTCTTATGACAATCTCTTCATCTGCTGCATGCACTTGCTGTTTCATTGATATATCTGTGTGTATATATGTGTGTGTATGTATACATTCACATATATAATAAATATATATATATATATATATGTACATATGCAGGTCAGGTTGCAATGAGCACAACTTTGCTAGCAGAATGGAATGCTTCAGATGCAATGCTCCAAGAGACTTCAGCCTAGCCAGAACTTCATACTAATTTCTTCTTCCATTTTTTGGGTACGAATACTTAATTACAATAACTATATACTACCCATTAATTATTATATAATTTTTTATTAATCTTGAAATGGGTACTTATATATATATGTGTGTGTGTATATATACATACATACATATATATATATATATGTGTGTGCAGGTGTTTTGCAGAGAGAGTATGAAAATGAGGAGAGCTGCTACTTTTTGGTGATTAGTTTTGGGTGATTGTAGGGTTTTGTTGTTGGGTTGGAGTTAATCTACTTTGGCATATTTAATTCCATATAAAATTAACATCAATTATAGCAGTTTCCTATTTCGGTTTCATTCATTCATTCTCCTTCATCTCTTTTATTTCCTCTTCTGAGTTTCCTATTTCTTAGTTAACCATGTTTAATTATAAGTAAACCATAATTATATTTCTTATTCTAATTAAAACCTCAAATATTATTGCTTCACTGTGAAAATGGTAATTCGTATATGTGTCTATATATATATATATATATATATATATATATGGAATCTGAAAAGCTGGAAAAGGAAACAAATATCAGGTTTGTTCCATGTAAAGGAATAATCAGTCATGGTTCAAATCAAATAACTATTTTACTTTTGGGAAAGCCTGACACAAAGATCTAGTGGTACCTCACAGCTCTCTCTTAATTAATTAATTAATTATTAGTGTTTTAATCAACAACTTAATCATTAATCTTATGTTTTTAGTGAATTAATTAAACCAACAACTAGTATCAAAGAATATCTACACGTCTATATCATATATAATTTTTTGTAACTAGGGTTCCAGCCATTGTTTCAATGAAACTGTTTATAAATTTTTTAAAATAAAAATTTATAAATGCACATACACACAAATTATAATACAATATTATCAAATAGATACATAAAACTCGTGAATCTAACTCGAATTTATTTTTTATAAAAAGAAAAAAAAATACCAATTATTCAACATATAAATATTTAACAAAATTAGCCTTATAACTTAAAAAAATATATATGTATAATGAATCATTTGAGAAATACATATAACTATGTATGCCCATAAGTCTCTCTTGCTTTCTTTTGCCATAAACAATATATTAAGGCAAATCAATCACATTGGATTCCCTCCATTGACCTTATTCTATATCATGTATACAAATGAGGATTTGCAAAAGCACCTGCCTATACATTATATATGTATATGTATATATGTATATGTGTATGTATATCCTCGAGCATTAGTGATAATGCTTTAAGCAAGATTCTTTGTCTTACCTTTAACCTAGCTATATAAGCTTTTAATTTGCTTTGTGTTACACATCCATGTATATTTTGTACATAGATATAACATATAGATACATAATTACTTTACAATTTGGATTAATGGCTTTGAACTCCTTTTAAAGAAAAGCATGAACAAAATTTTAGTTGAATGTTATAAAAAGCATGCATCAATTTTGACCAACTTTAATTTTTGCTCATATCTTTTTTATGTAGTTTGCTGCCTTTAATCATCAGCCTGCCACAACATGGGTTTTCCCTACTTCCACTCATTCTCTATTTCTTACCTAACTATATATATATATATATATATACCCTTTATTAATTTATTGTGTATTTATATGCACACATTTTATATTAATAGGTAACAAACTTGTTCTTGCTCTTATTAAATTATAAGATAAAATTATATAGTTTTAGTTAACAAATTTCAAATAAATAATAAGATATTATAAATCTCTCTCAATATACAAAAGAAGTACATTTTAAGTTTACTAATCGTAGATAAAAAGAAAAAAAAAAAATTTATGAAGAATTTAGTAGAGTCGGAATTAGTGGATTCATAAGAAAAAATAGATAAAAGTAGTTTAACTTATTTACCGATTTCAAAATAATTGTTCGAAATTGAGACAATATATGTAAAGAATCTTAGTAAAAAGAAGAGAAATGGCAAGAATAGAATGACATGGGCGGAGTCGATTCCTCTACGTTCGAGATTTTGTAAAGTCAACTCAAAAACATTAATTGGTAAAGATGGATTGACAAGTATAACATATTTTTATAAGACTTCATATAAAAGGTAATAAAAGTATGAATGAGAAAGATGTCTATGAAATTATAGACTTCAAGTTTTATATCGATTTGAAACTAATAT